CGAGGCAGGCGGGGGGCGCTGAGCCTGTCCCCCTCCCCAGGGGGGCTTTCTCGGTGGTCCGGCGCTGCGTCAAGCTCTGCACCGGCCATGAGTACGCCGCCAAGATCATCAACACCAAAAAGCTCTCCGCCAGAGGTAGGACCCCCCCGTGACCCATGGGCGGGTGCTCCCAGGGCCCCCCCAGCCCGGCCACCCCGGTGCCCATGGTGACAGCCGTGGTGCCCAGGACACCCGTGGTACCCCTGGTACCCACAATACCCGTGTCACCCGTGATACCCCTGCCACCCGTGGTGCTCGTGGCAAAGGGTGCCAGCTGGGGGGGGGTGTGCTCCGTGGGGGCTGGATCCGGCCCTTCCCGTCCCTGTCCCCTCCTGCTGCTCCGCCGGGGTCCCCCCTCCCCGCCCCGGTGCCCCTCGGTGCCCCACAGCGTCCCCCAGGGCCCCGCAGCAGCCGCGGTGGCTGTCCCCCGCGGGCTGTGCACACGTGTGAGCGGGCTGTGCGTGTGCGTGTGGACGTGCACGCGTGTCTGTGTGCGGGCACTGTGTGCACAGGCGTGTGTGTAGTGCGTGTGCATGCACGGGTGTGAGCAGTGGGGGTGTGCGTGGGGGGTGTGCGGTGCGTGTCTGATGTGTACATGGGTGTGTGTGCACAAGTGTGTGCAGTGTGTGTGCGTGGGGGGTGTGTGCTTGCACTGGTGTGAGCTCTGTGTGTGCATGGGGGTGCGCACAGGTGTGTGCAAGGGTGCGCGTGCTTGCACAGGTGTGAGTTGTGTGTACGATGTGTACTTGGGGGGGTGTGTGCATAGGTGTGTGCAGCGTGTGTGTGTGTGCATGCACCGGTGTGAGCTCTGTGTGCACACAAGTGCGTGCGACGTGTACATGGGGCTGCGTGCGCGCACAGGTGTGTGCATTGTGTCCTGTGTCGCGGGGTGTGTGCACACCTCAGCGGTGTGCATGTACGCTGGGGGGGGGGGGGGGGGGGGGGGGGTTGGCCCCCCGCAGGGGGGTGGGGGTGCGCGGGGGGGGGGGGGGTGTGCGCAGGTGCGGGGTGTGCGCAGGTGCGGGACGTGTGTGAGCACGGCATGCACGGGTGTAGATGTGGGGTGTGCACACGTGTGAGCAGGCAGCGTACGGTTGCACTGGGTGCGTGGGTGTGTGCTCTGTGTGTACACATGTGTGTGCCTCGGCCATGGATGTGTGTGTGCGCGCACAGGTGTGAGCAGTGTGTGTTTGCTCTGTGTGAGTACAGCGTGCGTGGGGATGTGTGTGCACACACGTGTGCATGTTGTGTCTGTGCACGCCGTGCATGGGATGTGCAGGCTGCATGTGTGTGCACACGTGTGCAGGCCGGGGGGCGTGCCGTGTGCGAGCCGTGTGTGTGAGATCATGGCCTTACACGTGTGCACACACGCACACGTGCGCAGGTGTGTGTGAGCAGGTGCACACCCCTGTCCGTGTGTCCGTGTGCCCTCCCTGCCCAGCACAGCCCTTCCCCGCTCACAGATGGGGCTGCCCTCACCCTGCCTGCCCCTGCCCTCACTCTGCCTGCCCCTGCCTTCACCTGCACTCACAGGTACAGCCACGCACCCCGGTACACACACACACAGACAGGTACAACCACACGCAGGTACAGCTGCATGCTCATACAGTAGCAAACACGGGTACACGTGGGCACACACATATGGCCAGACACGGGTACAGCTGCACACACGCACAGGTACACCCGCACACGTGAGTACAGCCACACACACAGGTACAACCACATGGATGTACAGCTGCACATGCATGTACTGCCACACACGGGTACAGTGGTATGCATGTGCGCATATGTACAGCTGCACACAGAGGTACACCCATGCACACAGGTACAGCTGCACACAGGCACACCTGCACACAGGTGCACAACTACAGGCACATGTAACCCCCCCACATGGACAACCGCACCCGTGTGCACACCCACACACGTGCACATCCACACGTGCACAGACACACCCATATGCACACACCCATACATGCACAACCACATGGATGTACATCCGCACACACGTACAGCCGCATAAATATGCCCAATAACACAGACGTGCACACCCGTGCACAGCTGCGCACACCTGCACACACCTGCACATGTGCAACCCTGCCCACACTTGCACACCTGCACACCCAGACACACTGACACACGTGCCCATGCCCACAGGTGCCCACCCACGCCCACGTGCACACCGGTACATGCACACACAGTCCCCACACGCGCACACCGGCACAACCCACACCCCCCGCACCTGCACCCTTGTGCACACCCACACATGCATGCACACCCCTGCACTCGCACAACCACACCCAGGTGCACACCCGTGCACACCCACACCCACGTGTGCTCACACGTGGCACCTGCGGGCTCCTCCGGCCAGGGCCGGGGCCGGGGCCCGGCGACCCCTGCGGCGTCGCGGGGTGGGGACGCGGGGCGGGTGCCTGGCTGACACCTGTGTCCCCAGACCACCAGAAGCTGGAGCGGGAGGCCCGCATCTGCCGGCTGCTGAAGCACTCCAACATCGGTGAGTGGCCGGGGATGCCGCTGCCACCCGGGGACACGCTGGGTGCCACCATGGGGGTGTGCCACGCTGGGAACGTGGGGTCCTGCTGGGTACCCCCTGGGGTCCTGCTGGGCATCAGCCCTGGGGCACGCTGGGTGCCCCTCTGGGGACACAGGGGGTCCCACCCTGGGGTCCTGCTGGGTGCCCCCCTGGGGACGTGCTGGGTGCAGTGCGAGGGCTGCGTGTGACAGACACGCGTGTGCCACACGTGGCGGCTGCGCGGGGGCCGTGGGCTCCCGGGGCCGTGGCTGAGCCTGTCCCTGTCCCCATCCCCGTCCCCGTCCTGTCCCCGCAGTGCGGCTCCACGACAGCATCTCGGAGGAGGGGTTCCATTACCTCGTCTTTGACCTGTGAGTGCGGCTGGGGGC